AGGTGACAAGTCCTCTTTCCTTGCCACGCCGCTTTGAGCCGCGATAACGGCACATTTTGTACATTTGCGAAGAGCCCTTAGTTGAGAAAGATTCTTTCCATCCATTTCATTATCTTAACACATTGGCGACAGCGCAGGGTTATTTGTCTACGGAATCGTTCGGATCACTGCGCTAGTGTTGTGGCCGCGACGCCGCAACTGCAGTGGACGAGTTAACTAGGGAAGGATGAAGGGTCGAAGTGGCCATATGAAATGAGACAAGTATCATGGTATGTGGTTTCAGACGCTGATCTCGAATCTTCTTCCCAAATCTGCCAAACGATTCGCTGAACGGAGTCACGGAGGTTTTTTGTTCCCTCACACAGTTTAACACAGTGAGAAATGAGGCCTCAGCAGCAGCGGCTTGTGAAGGAAGCAGTGAGTTTTCTTGATGCTACGTGGGATAAGGTGGTGGGCTTGGGATTTCGGGATCAGTGGTTCGGATCCGTCGCTTGTTTTCCATTTTGCATTTTTGTGACTGACTGTTTGGCAGTAGTGAAACATGAGTCCTTAATCATTGGTCAGCCCTACTTGCTTTTGAATGAGTCTGAGGTCGATAACTTCGAAATTTTTCCTAACTTGCATGCCACTACATAAGGTTAAAGCGAGAGATTACGATAAAATGCGTATGCAGCGTGGAAGTACAAGCACCATTGGAAACAGGATTTTACGTATTTATCCCACCCTGCGCCCGTGCGATTGCGTACAGCAGGCGATTACAGTACTCTCACGGCTAGTTCCGCTATCGTTGGCACCCTGTTTTCGATTGAATAACTACGGGTAGACTTGTGATGAGAGGAAATAATAAGACTAGATGACTTATATCTGGCCTAGCAGTTTTTCGCATATATCTTCAAGATGTCAGCAGTGAATATTTGTGGTAGTGGACATCAGATCAAAAAATTCCTATCTCCTATCCACCAAAAGCAGGAAGCGCACTGAACATAACATTTAATGCAAAATGATTGGAATCGTGAAGAACAATTTTCCCATTGATAGCGCAATAGTTAAGCTTTTGCTCACAGCTTACGTAAAGAACTGCTATTATCTTCCAACGCAGAAGCTGTAAAATCCAACACAAGGTTGGTGAATAAAAGCGCCAAGCCATCATGCTCCTCCCCACCCCCTGCTCGTCCCCCTAGTACTAGGCCTTGAGTCTAGGAGGAAGTGTAAGCAATTTTCATTACCCTCAAAGTTCACCCTCTTCTCCAAGACTCAGTCAGCGTGGGCATGCCCCTTTTGAGTACACTAGCGCCTCAAGAAATTGATTCGCAACAGTAACGCAAACGTTTCTGTAAGCGAATTATCTCCAGTGGAACTGAATTACATTTTACGACATCTCTTACAGAAAGAATGAACATATCCCATGACCTATCATCTACAAGTATGCGCTCTTACTTTCAGCACAAGTCATCCTCACAAGGATACCTCCGTATCAGATTTCTATGGAAATATCTGCAAGTACTAATAAATCAACTAACAACTCGAAAACAAGGTGGCCGCGAGGCGCAACTACTAAGCAGTTCATGATGAGAACTATCTCACGAATTAGAACTTTCTCTTCCCTCAGGCGCCAAATAACCTTCGTCCCCTCAAGTCCCTCACTGCACTGTTACAATGCATGACGGCATCAATGATTGTACTAGTGCGGAGCATTATAAATACGCTAGCACATCACCCTATATTGCATGTTAAGAAGTAAATGACATGGTGTTCCAACAATATGTGAAGCATCACTCGGTACCCGTCACCTATCTGAAAGCAGAAATGCATGACTCAACTCAGTACAATATTTGGAGCTGTGCTAGATATGAATTGATTAGTCTTCCCATTCCCTTCCATCACGAGCCCCGCCTGTGATCATCAGTTACAATGTCAACACCAATAGAACTAGGCGTGGGTGTACTGTAATCGCTTGCGGTACGCAATTGCACCGGCGCAATGTGGGATATATACGTAACATCTTGGAAGCAGTAGTCAGAGGCCCAAGGAAACGAAATGTTGCGTTTTTGTGGTCAATGGTGCGCTAGTTGCAGCCTACAAGGCTTGCCATTCCTTTCTGAGCCCCGCCATGGTCTGAGCTCCGCCCCCCCCAGCAGCAGCGCCCTTCGATTGCCAATGTGACGTGATATTCCATTTCCAGAGTGTATCCTATAACTTTTCATGGGATGCGTGATCAATCAAAGCATGACGCTTGCTGAAATATAGGGGATATCAGCATAACATGTGCAAACGACCTCCTAATTAGTTGCTAGCTCATCCATTATCGGAGATCAATGGGCAAAGAAAGGGGTCCAATTTTGCGCCTTCTCGACGGATTTCTTTGCTTTTCGCCACTGGGGCATTATTCACCATCTCCACTTCCACTATGAACCCAGTCCAAACTTATCGTGATCCCTCGCTTTAAGGCGCGCCAGTATGCGGAGAGCGCGCTTCAGCAGTTTTTGAGTGAACGTATGTGAGATCTGTGTTCAAGTAGTCCAATATCTCCTAGGGGCCAAGTTCTGGAAAAATTTGAGACTTTTGAAATAACTTCAAAAAAAAGTTGGCGAGTCACTCATTGATGCTACATATCCATAGCCGGTAGTTCCAGGGTTGACCTATTTCAGACGACGGCGAACCTATAAATGTGAAAATAATAAAATGTGGGTGTTGAAATGACGCAAATAGGAAACCAGACACTGCTTTACACTCATCAGAAACCACAAAAAAATTATATCGTCTCAAGGCTGTATAGGCTTCCATGATAGTCTGATGGATGAATGCATAGATACCCACTCAGCTTAATTCGAAAAGTCGAAATCTCAAATTGACTACAAGTTGTCCCTAGAGGTATTTTAATCTCCGTAGCACGAATATCACACTTGTTTGCTGCAAAAACGTGTGCCAAGTGTTCTGTGGGCTCCATGTGCAGTGTTTAGTAAGTACCGCCCAAACTGATTAGAAACTCCTTGCAAAGTCTTTGCACGGGTAACTGCAGGCAACCACTAATCGAGTAAGGTAGTTGGGAGCCTTTTTCAGTCATTTTGCAGCGAAGGCAAAAAGAGAACCCGCCAGGGAATCGATCCTGCCACGTCTCGCACGTGAACCCGGACTACTACCGCTGCACTACTTTTCTTCATAACTCCGTTCGGAAAATCGTTTGGCAGATTTGGAAGGCGGATTCGAGATCAGCGTCCAAAAACATATCCATCGGTGTAGGTCTCTTTACATAAGGCCACTTCGACCAACCATCCGTTCCTGGTAAGTGCCTCATTCAAATTCGAATGTTGCAGGGACGCCAAGCAGGTCCGTCCCACATTTAACTTCAATCAGTCAGTGCGTGAATAGTTTTGATTACCTCAAACTTTTCTCTGTTTGCCTCTCTCAATATTGCGAACACGAACCTCGAGAACAAACTCGATCACGAACTTATCTATAAAAGAGCCAGAACAAGTAACTTGGATTTCAAGGCGCAATGTGGCTCGGGGGGGGGCAGTCGCCGCGCGCGTTGCGGCAACAGGAAATTCGTAAGCCAGGCGGAATGTAGCCAATTCAGGGGTTGGGGGTGAGGGCAGTCACTTAACATGCGTGAGAAGCTGGATTGTTCTGTGAGAAGCCGGAATGTTCGAGTTACACAACATCGCTGAGCCGCGCGCGGCGACTGCCCCACCCCCCCCCCGAGCCACATTGCGCTGGATTTCAATATCCACGTCTCACATCAACTGCCAAAGATTCAGTGCCACCCGTTAAATCTGTTATAAAAATCCTGCGCTCATCGAAAGATCGCCGCGATGCGACACCGCGATAGTGACCGCTCGCGATGACACGGCTACCGAACCAGGGTTAACCGTCGCGTTCGCATATTTTCCAAATTTTCGCGGTTCCCCCCCCCCTCTCGCGGAGGTCTGGGTGCGACTCCCTTGCTGCTATAAGACAAGTGTTATTGCGCTGTACATCTTGAGACATCAAATATCAATAAACTGATGGTGAGTAGCGGAGTCCTCAGCAGATAATTTTTTCTAGTGTGGTAGGAGCTACTAGTGATTTCCAAGGCAGATCCGCCTTTATGCTCTGATGACTGCAAGTTCAGGAACAACACGAAGAATTCTTTACAGCAATTGTGATTACAAAGCAAATCGTGGATTCACCACGGTGGTGATGCCACTCAGACCCCTTTCCCATTCATGATCAAAGCAGCGTGTAGAAGAGTATCTCGTTGAGTCACAAGATTAAAGAAAAACAGATAGAGAGGAAACTTACGACTTCCGTGAACAATGCCTCAGTCGACCCCCCAGCTCGCTACCCCTCTATGGAATGCCCCGAAAAAGAGGAAGCCTATGTCTCCTGTTCTGGCTAATATTCAGTCGACTGCTATCCTTGACGACGATGCTGCCGAATTATTGAGTAATATTCAGCAGATTCTGACAAATAAAGCACCAGAAGCACTTCCGCTACTGGAACAACTACTCGCAAAATTATTATCGCTGCCCATGGATGCTATTCATGCTGAGAAGGGAGAGCGCTCAGTCGTTATTCATGGCGTCCCTGAGGCCGAAGCTGGTCTATCTGCTTCACTTCGACAGCAGCATACCGAGAGGTGTGTTTCCGATATCCTCGACGTCCTTGACATTGAGACGCGTCCACCATTTGAAGTGTTCCGAATGGGTAAAGTTGGCCAAAAGCCCAGACTGATCAAGTGTGTTTTTAGTTCAAGGAAGTTCATGTTTGAAACTCTTTCTAAAGCAAAACGATTGAGTTCTTCTTCCGAATTTTCTAGTGTGTTTATAAGGAAATCAATGACCCCCGAGCAGAGAGCCATCGATCGTGATCTCCGCAACCGCGCCTACGAACTCATCCGGGACGAGCACAACGGAGAACGAGTATTTGTAGTCTACAAAGGCAAAATTGCAAAAGGCTCCGAAATTCAGCCCATGAGAACTTCTCTAGCAAAAAACTGAGTAGGGTAGATCGCTTCGGAAATGATTGCCATTCCATGTCCTCTTTCTTTTCTACAGTTTCTATCTTATATACCAATATCAGGTCTTTCCCCAGAAAATGTGCTTTTCTTGATGTCGTTGCTGCTGCAAAATATGATTTGTATTTTTTTACTGAAACTTGGCTGAAAAGCCATCATTTTGTGCCGGCTATGCTTAGTAAATGGATTGAGGAGTATGCTATTGTCCGTTGCGATAGGAGTCGGAGGGCCGGAGGTGGAGTTGCTATGTTTATAAGAAAAACCCTAAATTATTCTACTGTAATATCTGAGTCTGTACCCAGTGGGTATGAAATAGCCGTGGACGTCGCTCTTCCCGACCCATGCATTAGAATCGTACCAATATACAGGCCGCCATCGTCCCCTCCCTCCATCAATGAACAACTAGGAAAATTAGTTAGCGATCTAGCTGCGGTATCAATACCGGTCCTTGTGGTAGGTGACTTCAATATTCCAGAGTTCGACTGGGTGCAATGGAACAATATCAGAGATATTTCTCATCCACTTTTTGACACCTTCGCAACCCATGGGTTCAAGCAGTACGTTGATCATCCCACAAGGGGTAACAATTTGTTGGATCTTCTGTTTTCAAACGACGAAGAGCTTATAAGAGATGTCTCAGTAAAGTCACCAATCGGCCATAGCGACCATTTTTGCGTTTCTTTCAAGATTACGGGACGTAGCATTCCCTGTACCCCTGTTTTCAAGAGGTTTTTCACCAAGTGCAACTACTCGGTGATTAGCAGATACTTATTTAATATTCAATGGATTCCCTCATTTGAAACGGTTTCCACTGTTGATGAAAAGTACATGATGTTCCTCTCCATACTGAAGCATACCATAGATCTGTTTGTTCCTTGTGGTTATATCCTTCCCACCAGAGATCACCTCCCGGTCTATCTACAAAACATGATGGACCACAGAGATTGTCTTCTGCAGTATGCTAGGCGGACCGGTGACTGGACTGAGTACAAAGCCTTTTCGGCCAAATTTTCTGAAAAACTCATCAAATACAATAGAAGTGTGGAAAAGAAGATTATTGAATCCAAGAATAAACATCGCTTTTTCAATTTTATGAGGTCAAGACTTCGTAGCAAATCACTGCTTACGCATTTGAAACTGCATGGTAGACTCCTGGTAAATGATCTTGAAAAGGCTAATGCCTTGGCCTCAGAATTTGACAAAGTGTTTCAGCAGGACAACAACTGTCTTCCTCTATACTCGCCCAATGTAACCAATCAAGTGTTGACATTTCCCTACTTTGACGCGAATGATATCTACAATCTCTTGAAAAATTGGCCCTGTTCCTCTTCTGTTACTCCAGATCAAGTTCCTTTCGAATTCGTCCAAGAATATTGCTCATGCTATTGCCTTCCCTTATCGTACCTTTCAATCAGTCCATTATGTTCTCACAAGTTCCTAGCTTGTGGAACACTCGTACATCACTCCTATCTTAAAACTATGCCCTCGTCTGATATTTCGATTACAGACCCATCAGCATCACATCCATTTTTTGCAGGCTGTTTGAGAAGTTGCTAAAAAAGCATATTCTTCAACATCTTGCTAAGAACTGCACAATCCTGACTCACAACATGGTTTCGTATCAGGGAGATCGGTAATTACAAATATGCTTGAGTCTCTCAATGACGTGACTGAGGCTTTAGATAATAAGAAAAGCGTGGATGTGGTTATTTCGACTTTGCCAAAGCTTTGACAAAGTCAGCCATCAAAAGTTACTGTACAAAATTTATAAGCTCGGATTCCATGATAAGAGTATATAAGTGGATCGAGGAATATCTCTGCCAACGCACCTATCAAGTTCGTATAAATAATTCCTATTCAAAAGTATTCTATTCTACCAGCGGAGTGCCTCAAGGAGGGGTGTTATCCCCCATACTTTTCAATATATATTCTGCGGATTTGGCTCCAATTAGCTCTCAGTATGGTGTTGTTTGTAAGCAATACGCTGATGACCTGAAATTCTATAAAGTGATCAATTCCCCACAGGATGCTGAGTCCTTGCAGTCCTCCATCAGTAGTCTTGTACAGTGGTCTGTAGACTGGCAGATTCCTCTATCTTCCTCCAAAACCTTTCACATGCACCTAGGCCCCCCCTGCCCGTCCACATACTTCATAAATGGACAACAGATTTTGACAGTCGATGAGATTAAAGACTTAGGGTTCCGTTACAATAATAAGCTTGACTTTTCTCCACACTTCAAGCAAATTTACAAGAAAGCGTGCCACCGCACCTATCAAATTTTCAAAGCTTTGACAACCAAGGACAGCAAAACTCTCGTCCCAGTTTACAAAACTTATGTTCGCCCACTTGTTGAGAATGGGACTGTGGTTTTCTCGCCGCACAAAAAGAAAGACATTGCACTGATTGAGAAGGTTCAAAATAATTACACTAGAAAAATGCTGGTTCGTCGCGGTGGCTTCCTGTATTCAAGAATACCGAAGGCTGAAATACGGAATAAATTTTATGATCTCCCTTCCCTTCAGTCTAGACGTTTGTTCTTCGATTTATGCATGGTTCACAATCTTCTCAGCGACAAGTCCGCGGTTAAAATTTCACAATTCTACAGCCTTATTCCATCTAACACTAGGGGTGGTCACCTCAAATTGTCATTTCCCAGGCCGAAAACTTCCATCAGGCGTACCTTTTTCACGGTTAGGGCAGGTCTTGCATATTTACGTTATAGCAAATCCAATTGCTTCCCGAGCTCTCGGGCGTCCTTCAGACGCACAATAGCAAAACTCGTAACTAAGGCATAAAAGGCATAATCGGCAACACTTCTCCACTGATTTACTTGTTTATATTTACCTCAGCTTCTCGTTGATGTTATAGTTTTATTGCGTATTTTCCTTTCTAACGTTGTCTTACACAGCGTATTGAATAAATAAATAAATATAACCAGTTAATCGCAGGTGATGATTTGTGTCGATACGCGCGTGAGTGCTGAATGACCTGGATACGCGACTGAGGCTGAATGAACTGCGCCCTCATTGATAGCTATACTTGGGACATAAATTGGATGTTACATGGCAATTTTCTCAGTGTATATTGACACCTTGTCGATAACACTTTTGATCTGCAAAAATTGCGCACGGATGCAAAGAACTGAGCCGCTCAAACGACGGATCGATTAACATGCCATCTTGTCGCGCAATTTCACCTTTTGGACTTTTGTGGAGCCTGAATTAGTGGATTAAGCAAGCAGAGTTACCACGGCTTTTGCGAAGAATGGATTCCGGATTGTACGTCACATGGCCTGGTCGAGGAGCGCCCTTTACTGTAACTCGGGTCTCCAAATCCCCAGCTGTTGCTAAGCATTATAAATAAGCGTTGATAAGCTATGGTAAATACAACGTCTAAAAACGAGTAAGGCTACATCCGTATAACCTACATCCATCCATGCTTGACACCGTTGGGGAAGCTGGGGGGGGGGTACCTGGCAAAAGAGCAGTCGCGCGGCAAGAAAGCAGTCAGCGGACGAGCCACAGCGCGTACAGTAGTCATTTCGCGTCAAATTAAATAGAATGCACCATCGCACGTCCTGCATCGCACAGCACGCGCTGCGACTCGTCCGCTGACTCAGGGTCAACCCTATGTTCTGCAAGTATCAGCAAGGGGTTTGTATTTGGTTCAGATTGTGGGGGAGGGTCGTACTCGCTCCACCCCCACGGAATTACATGTGAAACTACCCCCCCCCCCCACTCGATGGCCATTCGGAGGTAGTGAGCGGAGTCGAGCTGTGTGGACTGGTCTCACAATCAAGTACTGTAGAAACAGGTATGTTTGTGACGGTGGTGGTCGGGGTGGGGAGAGGGGGTCGTATCAAATTTCTCATGGAGGAGGGGAGTCGTGGAAAATTTCCAAAAAGTACCAACGGCAGGGTCGACCCTGCGCTGCCTCTGCCTTCTTGCCGCGCGACAAGCCATCTGTCGGGTACCCAAGCCGCGGACAGTGCAGAAACTGTCAAGATATTTGGCACACTGGCTTATGAGCGTACTTGGTTCTCAGTTGCTCCTTTCCTTCAACGTTCAATTCAAAGTTCTACGTTCTGTCTATTTTTTGATGTTCTAGTACGCTAAACGTTTCCCTTGCTTTATCGAATACCATCTTTGCGCGCTATTGAATACACCTGGAGGCTTACCACCACTTTCACACACAACTGTGCGGCGCCAATCGTTGGGCTTACAGAAACAGAAATGAATTAAATAATCAAAAAAGAAAAGTTTTGCGCTAGAAAAACACCACCCACGGCATCCCGACGCCAAGTACACGTCATGCGCCGGTGCGTATGCTGGCGCTCTTCGCAACGTCCGCAATGGGGCAAATAAGGAAAGCAACTTAACACGATGACGACATCGCGCATTTGGCTTTTGGGTCGCGTGGGAGTGGGCGGTTTTGTGAGAGCGGCCGCCTCACCTCACTTCCGTGAATTTCGTGTATTAGTGTCCAAAACGTTAATTACTTAACCCTTAGGCTACGACTTTTTTAGAATCGCGTCATAAATGTGTTCTGCGTTGCAATTATCCCCGCCAGCAACAGGCAATCAGCTGACGTTAGGTTGCTGGGATTCGAATCTAGGGACCACGTGTCGCGGCAGCGGGCCGCCGTTGTCATAAACACATTTCCGCTCGGATGTTTGTTTGTTCAATAAATTGGCAGCCACGGTCTATTCTGTCGAGAAGGTGAGGCAACTTGAGGAAGTATCTGATCTTCCTCTCATGCGGGGAGATATTTAGGGATCTAGTAAAGTATGTTGCTGCCGAAAATTGTATCGCAGCAAGCTATGCCCGTGCTGGGAATGTGGGCTGTTAAAAATTTTTGGCCCTCTTCCTGTAAGATACATCCAATCACAAAGGGGTTCATCGAATTTCGATCACGCAAATTTGCGAGGGAAAAACATAGATAGATGGAATCTGCACGGGTGGTTCTATATTCGATGCACGCAGTACCTACCAATTCAAAGAGCACGCAAATTTGTGTGCACGACTTCTTGCACTCGATGATCGGCCTTGCGATGGAGTCCATTTGTGTGGGAACTTCTGTGCCTTATCTCAAATGTCAGGACCAATTTCTTCGACTTGTATAGGGTCTTATGAAAATCGCCATCTTTCGTAAGGTAGAAGCTCGAAAATTCATCGTGTTTAAAAGAAATCAAGCTGGCCTGGAACTCTAAAAAGAAGTCGCAAGCCCGCAAGTTCGCTACCATCGCTTCAATCTGAACTGAAAAGTGGTCTTCACGTACATAACATACAAGACTATCACAAGCCCTGTGTTTGTCCCTTCACGTGCCATTCTAAAACAGAATGTCGCCTCCGAAGGCCTAAAAACCGCGCTGCACAAAAAGTTGTACAGTGTTCGGAAAATGCCTGCAAGTAGCTTTATTCTTCTTCAGAAAATAAGTTGAAACGCCTCTTCTCACGAAATAGCGCGCCTTTATAATAAGTCGCGTTTGCGCCGAAGTCATGGTCCGCTGAAAACAATACTCATTTAGTCGCACCCTGGTCGACCCCTGATCCCTTATATTCCACACTATAACAGCTAAAACTTGGCAACCTTTGGGTGAAACTGTCAAGCTTCTGAAGCCTAACGTGTTTGTTAACCCCAAAATATCTATGTTTCGGAATTCGTCTGCCTTTAGGGAAGTCATATTATCTTTGAAAGTGTATTTTCAAACGCTCTTTTCCTCTTGTCTTGTTCTTCTCCTAGACGTTGGTTTCCGCGCTGATAGTCCTGCAATCGCTGCTCTGGTGCAGGCAGAGTTTCATTGGTGTTCAATGCAAGACAATGATTCAGAGGCTCCATGGAACTCTAGGACGCGTTTGCCCGACAGACTTGAAGTCCAAGGTCATGTATTTGGCGGCGTTGTCCCCGAAATAATAAGAAAAGCCATACCCCGAAGTTGGA